GACCCCGCCCCCGCCCCGCGCGGGCCGCCAGGGGGCGCGGGTCCTCACATGCGCAGTAGCGACCCGTGGCCTGCCCGGCAGCTCAGTATGGGCAGGATCCAGGAGGCTGACTGTTCGAATCCTGGCTCTGCCACCATCGAGCTGTGTGACCCAGACAGTCGGCTTCACCTCTCTGTGCCACATATAGACCCCACCTCATAGGGCTCTTGTGAGGAAACTCACAGGTCCAAAGTGAGTTAACAGATCCAAAGCACTTAGTACAGGGGCCGGCCTGTGGCTCACTCGGGAGAGTGCAGTGCTGATAACACCAAGGCCACGGGTTCGGATCCCATATAGGGATGGTCGGTTAGCTCACTGGCTGAGCGTGGTGCTGACAACACCAAGTCAAGGGTTAAGATCCCCTTACCGGTCATCTTTTTAAAAACAAACAAACAAACAAAAAAGCACTTAGTACATGGCAGGTGATAACTGTTAGCTCATTTTAAGTCTATCTTCAATATATCATGACATGCCAGCATATCACCTTAGCCTAGTGGTTCCCAACGCAGGCGATCTGCCTCCCCGCACTGCCCCCACCCCATCTCTGTAGATATTTTAGGGGTAGGATCAGAACCTTTGACCACTTTTTTTTTTTTTTTTTTTTTTTTTTTTTTTTTTTTCGTGACCGGCAACGGACCGCAACCCTCAGTGTCGCGCCCGTACCGGACCGGGACCGGCAACGGGATCGCAACCCTCGGTGCTGCCCCCGCTCCTCGCTCAGCCAGTGAGCCGCCGGTCTGCACGTGGGATCCGAACCCTCGGTGGGAGCGCCACCGCGCTTCCCAAGCGGCACACTGTAGCAGTGCGCCACCAGGCCGGCCCGAACCTTTGACCACTTTGGTGTTATAACACCACACTCTAAACAACCAATTGAGCTAACTTCTGTTTATCAAGACTAAGGGTATGGTACTGGCATCTAGCAGGTAGAGGCCAGGGATGCTATTTAAAGTCCTACAATGCCCAAGACAGCTCCCCACCACGAAGAATTATCCAGCCTCAACTGTCAACAGTGCTGAGGTTGAGAAACCCTGTGCTGGCCTCACAGCATTAGGGACAGAGTCCTGGGTTCAAATTCTACTCTGCCACTGACCAGCTGGGTGACACTGGGAAAGTGATTCCATGCCCCTAGGCCTTGGTTTCCCATCTGTAAAGTGTATTTAATAACAGCATCCACCGCTGAGGGCGTTGTGAGGATTGAGTGGATACATGTGCAGTGCTTGGAATGAGGCCTGACATAAGGGCTGCTGTCATATTGGCATATCACAACTGTGCCCTTAGCATGTGGCCAGCAAGTTGCACATCCTTAACATATCATTAGTGTGTGGCAGGTCACTGACATGTCACCCAAGTGTCACTCGCATGGCCTTGACAAATGTGGCATGATTTGGGCATGGCACCCACCCCCGTGGTCTAGGAGCTAGGTGGAGCTGCTTTCAGGTGTCCCAGGCAGGCAGGACAGGGACATAGGGGGGTGTTCATGGCCTGGGACCTGCTACACAGTCACCCTGTGGCTCAGGTGACCCACAGGTGGATGAGGAGGATGAGATCCAGTATCTGCCCTCCCCCACATCCTTATAAGGGGTTGAAAGGGACAGAACTCAGGTGCTGGACACTCAGCAGAAATAATGCTATTGCCGGCCTCCGTCCCCAGTGCCAGGCACACTGGGCACATTGGAGGTATTATTTCTTCCAATGTTCACAACATCTCCAAGAGGCAGGCACTATCATAAGCCCATTTTACAGATGTGGCAATAGAGGCCCAAAGAAGAGAAGGACTTGCCTAAAGCTATAGCCTGTTGGTGTTTGGAGTTATCTCCAGGATAGTGCTCACTAAATTACCACTGGTGACAGTCCTTCCTGAAGACTAGAGAGAACAAGAGAGATGACCTCACAGTCCAAGAAAGAGATCAGAGACCCAGCCAGAGTCTGGACAGTGGGGGATGGAGGGTGGAAGAAGGTTGGTCTCTGTCTGACCGAGCACCCCCCCACACACCGAATAAAGCAGGCTGCCCCCCTAGGTGGAAACAATGACACAATCAGCTCCCAATACCAAGGCCCTGACATCACGAGGGGGGGTGACCAAGGGGGGCGCCCCGCCCCTTGGCAGGCCCCTGCGGCCAATGGAGCGGCCTTGGAAGGGACCCGGGCCGCCTCCAGAGCTTCAAAAACGTGTGGGGAGGAAAGAGGGAGCAGACAGAGCCTCAGCTGCTGCTGCCCCGGTCCTCAGCGCCAGAGCCCACCAGCCAGCATGTCCTCTGCTCACTTCAACCGAGGCCCTGCCTATGGGCTGTCCGCCGAGGTCAAGAACAAGGTAGGGCTGGGGGCCTCCCTGGCCTGGCCCACACACCCTGACAGGCCAGAAGCCCTGCTATTGGGGTTCCCTGAACCCTCTCCTGCCTATCCCATGTGACTTGGAAGCTGAGAGGTGAAAGGGGAGAGGTACCGGGTATGGGCTGTCTTTCTCCCCCTTGTGAACATCCCAGAGTCCTCAGCTGCTGTGGGGGGCGGGATGAGGGACAGGCAGCCACACATAAACAGAGGTGTCATTCCATTGCAAACTCCTCACCTGATCAAAGTCTCTGTTAATCTTTGTGTCCCTGGGTGGGGAGCACTTCTGGGGAAGACGAATTGACTTTTCCCACATTCCCAGACAAAGAAACTGAGAGCTGGGGGTCCTGGGAAGTGCAGCTCAGAAAGTGTGGGAGATCATGAGGGGAGAGGGAGATAGCTGGGGAGGGGAGGGAGCAAGCATCAGGGACAGGGCAAGGGTCTTCTAACTGTGAGCTAGGAAGACATGAGGACACCATCTTCAGGCTATGGATGGGTAAACTGAGGTTCCAAGAGGAGAAGCAAGCTAAGGTTCAAGATATGGCAGGTGCAGAACTGGGACCCTGGACTTAACCCCTTAACCAGAATTGGGTCAGCTTCTCCAAGGTAGGGAACTTGAAGTCCCCACCCAACTGGAATCCTCCCAAGAGCACTGCCAGGGGAGGAGTTCCAGTCCCATTTGACAGAGGGGAACACTGAGGCTCAGGGTGGCTTTTCCCAGGGTCCCACAGCGAGGAAGTGGGGAGCTGGGATTGGAACGTGGGTCAGGGGATCCTCGGGGCTGAAGGAGGGGGCGGGTGGGGGGCGGGTGCTCAGGCGGGAGACAGATCCCAGCGCTGCCCCCTCCCCCCTGCGCCGGCTGCAGAGCCGCGCGGAGCCGCCGCGCCATATAAGGCGGCCTCGGGGAGCCCGGGCCGCGCTATATAAGGGCCGGTTTGCTTTATAAAGCCGGGCTGGTGGGGAGGGGGGCGGCAGAGCCGGGGCCAGGTGAGGGGGCCGCCCCCCCAACTTCCCCCTATCCAGGACAAGGGGCAGCCCGATCCCCCACGGGCGGGAGCCTGGCTGGGCTGGGGCGGAGTGTTCTGGAAAAACGGGAGGAGGGGGACAAAGTGCGCAGAGGGAAGAGTGGGAAGAGACGCAGACATAGACACTGGGGGCCTGAGACGCGAGAGAGACAGACGGGGGAGGGCTAGCCAGGAGCGAGATAACACCAAGATGAGGATGGAGAGGCAGAGAGGGAAAGCGGACGAGCCCCACCTCCCACCGGAGTTGGGACCGAGAAAGAGACCTACAGAGGCAGATTCAAGAGCCATGAGCCCCACCCCCAGCCAGACAAGGACTAGCCACCCAGAGAGATGGGGACACGAAGATTGGGCCAAGGAAAGAGAGAGCTGGGGAGAGGGAGAGAAATATACAGACCCACAAGGAGTCAGGAGTAGGACGAAGGCAAGAAGTGAGGACTTGGGGAGAGACAGACAGAGATATAAGACAGCAGCCCCCCGCAAGCCAGCCCCAGGCGCACCTCCTTAGGCCTCCTCCTCCCCTGCCCAGGCGCCCCGTCTTCTTCCAACAGGGGAGTGGAGGGGGCAGGGCCAGGAGAAGCAAAGCCCCAAGTTTGGCCTGGAGGGGGAACGAGAGGCTGGGCGCCGCCCCCCAGCTCGGAGGATCGTGCTCTCCACCCACCTTGTCCACATTCCCTGATGCCAAACCTCAGAATGCCCGGAATGGCCCCCTGGGCAGGTGCCACCTCCTGGCCCTCAGCCTACCGCAGCCCCCCCATGGGTGCTGGGGCAGAATTGCCTTAGTTGGGAAGGGACGAGGAAGGTGATCGGGCCAGGGGAGACTCGGATGGGACTCAGGGAGCCAATACCGCTCCCCACTGCGTCCTCACCACCCTCTCTGTGTCCCCCTCCCCCAGCTGGCCCAGAAATACGACAACCAGCAGGAGCAGGAACTGCGAGAATGGATCGAGGGGGTGACAGGGCGCCGCATCGGCAACAACTTCATGGACGGCCTCAAAGATGGCATCATTCTTTGCGAGTGAGTGGGGCTCTTATGGCCCAGACCTTGCCCTGGGCTGCCCCCCAACCCGTGCACCCGTCTCCATGTAGCCCCTCAACTCTTCCAATGACCGTGAGACTGGAACTGAGCCGAACACTTTCTATCTGATACCTCAAAACTGTCCTCTAGGTAGCAAATAATTATTGTGCCCATTGAACAGGCAAAGAAAACTGAGGCTCAGTTAGGTAAAACACACTGCCCAAAGTCCCATCCTGTTCCAATGGAAACGATTCCAGAACATTAGCCACCATGCTATGCAGTGCAGGCCCATCTATGGCCTCCACAGCCCCCGGGTTAGGTAAAACACACTGCCCAAAGTCCCATCCTGTTCCAATGGAAACGACTCCAGAACATTAGCCACCATGCTATGCAGTGCAGGCCCATCTATGGCCTCCACAGCCCCCGGAAAGAGAAGTCACAGCTAAAAGGCAGCAGGCACCAACCACTGTTCATTGCTGGCTTGGTGACATGAGGGATGTGTCACAGTCCTTTAAGTAAGCCCTGGTTTTCTACTGCCCTCAGAATCTCTTCACCGAGGGAGACGAAGACCCTCACAGCTCCCAAGCCCCAATTCCACCACACCCCTGATGCTGGGTGGGGCCCTGAGCCCAGCCACAGCCCTGTCTGCATCTCTGGGTCTGACCCAGGGTGGAGTGAGGGCCAGGGCGCACCCTGGAGAGGCTTTCAGAAGGCGCGGCCGCACCAAGGGAGGGCTGGGGGGTGTTCGTCTTGTTCCACCTCGATCCACTAGGAACAAGAAATGCGGAGGACATTCTGGTGTTCCAGCTCAGACAGGGCTGCTCAGGCCGGAAAGAGTGCAGAGGCACCCACCCACCCAATCATTCATTCATTCATTCATGCCCCAAATATTTATGGAGCTTCTGCTGTGTGCCAGGCTCTGGTCTAGGCACTAGGGACAGTGAACAAAACAGGCTGGACTCGGAGTTTGACAGGGAGCTTTAGTCCTAGTGGGGGAGGTTAATCAAATCGCTGATGAAATAATCATGTACTTGCCTGTGATGGTAAATGTCAAGAAGAGAAGTCAAGGGGAAGAAGGGGCCAGGTGTGGGGGGTGCTGTTTCCTAAGAGTGCCTGGGAGGCCTTTCTGAGGAGGTGACATTTGAACAGGATCTTGGATGAAGTGAGGGAGGGACCTGGGAGGTCTGAGGGAAGAACAGTCAAGGCAGAGGGGACAGCTGTGCAAAGGCCCTGAGGTAGGAGCGTGCTTGGGTTGTTCAAGGAACACCAAGGAAGGCAGCGTGGCTGGCACTGAGTGAGTGAGGGGATGTGGAGCAAGACGAAGTGGCAAGGTGAACTGGGGGCCAGATGACTTAGGGCCTTCAGTCAAGCAAAGGAGTTAGGATTTTATCTGGAAGGCACTGGGAAACCATCGGAGGATTTTGAACTGGAGGGTAACTTGAATTGCACTAAAAAGGCCCTGCTGGCTGCGAGATGAAGGGTCTGCAGGGGGTGTGGTGAAAGCTGGGGGTCCATGGGTTGGCCACTTCAAGGTCCCTGGAGAGAGACGCTAGTGACTCAGAGCAGGGAGGAGGTGGTGAGGAGTGAGGGTGCGTGGGCTTCTGGATATATATTTTTTTATTTTTAGGCAGATCCGAACCCTTGACTTTGGTGTTATCAACACTGTGCTCTAACCAAGTGAGCTAACCAGCCAGCCCTCTGGGTGTATTTAGAAGGCAGAGCCAAAGGCCTTGCTGAGGGGACCAGATGTGGGGCTGAGAGAAAGGGGAAGGGGAGCCCAGGCAAGTCAGCGGGCTTGGGCTGAGCACCTGGGAGGATGGGTTGCTGGTTATGGAGCTTGGCGGTGGGAGGTTGGTGTCAGGAGTCTGGAGGGGGTGTGTTTGACTTGAGATGCCCATGGAGGCAGCTGGATTGGAAAGCAAGAGGCCTGGGCTGCAGGGAGATGCTGGGGTGGTGATGGCATATCGATGGCACTTAAAGTAGAGACTGGACGAGATCATCAATGGGGTGAGTGTGGTCAGGGAAGAGGCCTGGTGGACTCCCCCCATGTAGAAAAAAGTAAGGGGCTGGCCGGTTAGCTCACTTGAAAGAGCATGGTGCTGATAATCCCATGGTCAAGGGTTCGGATCCCTATACTGGCCAGTTGCCTCCTCAAAAAGGAGACAGGTGTGACCACCAGAGAGGCTGCTCAGACACACCACTGGTTGGGACAGGAGGGGATGGCAGGGGGTCACCTTTCTCACACCCCTCCCCTCTTCTTTGTAGGTTTATCAATAAGCTCCAGCCAGGCTCTGTGAAGAAGATAAATGAGTCGACTCAGAATTGGCACCAGGTGAGCCCAGACTCAACCTCTTTCGTCCCCCTGCCCACGAGCCCCTCCGACCTCCACCCTCTCACCACTGACCGCCGCCTGCTCCCCTCCAGCTGGAGAACATCGGCAACTTCATCAAAGCCATCACCAAGTACGGGGTGAAGCCCCATGACATCTTTGAGGCCAACGATCTGTTTGAAAACACCAACCACACCCAGGTGCAGTCCACACTCCTGGCCCTGGCCAGCATGGTGAGTATGGGTGCACAGCGGGCATGGGGCGGGCGGGGGGCTGGGGACGCCTGGCTGGGAGCAGGCACTGCCTGGAGGCTCCCTGGTCAGTCCCTGCCCTCCTCACCCGACCCAGGCCAAGACGAAAGGAAACAAGGTGAACGTGGGGGTGAAGTACGCAGAGAAGCAGGAGCGGAAATTTGAGCCAGAGAAGCTAAGAGAAGGGCGGAACATCATCGGGCTGCAGGTACCGCCCCTCCCTCACCTGGCTCTTGTTGCTGAGCTGAGCAGGGAGGTTGAGGAGGCCACCCCGGACCCTGAAGGCTTTTGGGGACAGGATATTTGGCATTTACTATAGGACAAGCAATGTTACTCATACCCTTTCTGCAGATGGGGAAACTGAGGCCTGGAGAAGCTAGCTCACTTGCCAGGATCTCCCACTTGATGAGTGGCCGGCTGGGACTTGAACCCTAGAAGTCGGTCATGTGATATGCCCACTCTGGGCCTCAGTTTCCAGTCTGTAACCCAAGGGTGGACACAGAGACCCCTCCTCGGACATCAGCTACATCTTGTCGCCCATAGTGAGCCTCTAATCCTTTGTTTGACTCTCCTTCTGGCTTTGTAGATGGGCACCAACGGTCATGTGATATGCCCACTCTGGGCCTCAGTTTCCAGTCTGTAACCCAAGGGTGGACACAGAGACCCCTCCTCGGACATCAGCTACATCTTGTGGCCCATAGTGAGCCTCTAATCCTTTGTTTGACTCTCCTTCTGGCTTTGTAGATGGGCACCAACAAGTTTGCCAGCCAGCAGGGCATGACAGCCTATGGCACCCGGCGCCACCTCTACGACCCCAAGCTGGGGACGGACCAGCCCCTGGACCAGGCTACCATCAGCCTGCAGATGGGCACCAACAAGGGAGCCAGCCAGGTGAGGGGAGTGGGGGTGCAGGGGGCGCTGGCAGGGCCCCACGCTGTCCCCACAGCCTGACCCCCCTTGCCCTCTACAGGCCGGCATGACCGCACCAGGGACTAAGCGGCAGATCTTCGAGCCGGGGCTGGGCATGGAGCACTGTGACACGCTCAACGTCAGCCTGCAGATGGGCAGCAACAAGGGGGCATCACAGCGAGGCATGACGGTGTACGGGCTGCCACGCCAGGTGTACGACCCCAAGTACTGCCTGACACCTGAGTACCCAGAGCTGGGCGAGCCTGCCCACAACCACCACCTGCACAACTACTACAACTCCGCCTAGGGGGCCGTGGGCCTCCCCACCTTCCCCCAGGGAGCACCCTCTCCCTGCATGGCGTCCTCCAGCCCCCTGGCACCTGCCTACAGGGCTAGAGTTTGGGGAGTGCAGACTGGGGGGCCTGTGCAGGGAAGGGGGCCCTCTCCCTGTAGTGCTGCAGGGTCCAACTTAGAGCCGGGTGTCCCTGACAGCACCCAAAGGATGCACTGAGCAAAGCTACTCCAGCCATCCCCCCAACTCCCTCACAAGTGGGTACCCTCAGGGCCAGAAGCCCCCCAAGCGAAGCCCCCAGAGCCCGGCTCGGCCTGCCCCCACCCCATTCCCGCAGTGGGCGCAAACTGCATGCCCAGAGACCCAGCGGACACACGCAGTTTGGTTTGCAGCGACTGGCGTACGTGGATGTGACAGCGGCGTTTGTGACGCGAGCACTTTCTTTTTCTACTTCACTGGAGCACAATAAATAGCTGTAAAATCACCCAAGGCCTCCGGGCTGCTGTGTCTCAGGGCCTGAGTGGCTCACACACACACACATGCACGCACACATGTGCAAACAGCCTGGCTCAGGTACACTCCATTCTCCGCACGCACATCTTGCACAGGCATGCACAGGCACGCTGACATACACACGCGGGCCTCACAGCACTCGGCCGGATGCAGGCAGGCACCCCATCTCATACCCTCCCAACACCCCGCCCTTTTACACACAGATACACACACGTGTGGTCCACACTCCACCAGGACACATAGGCACACCCAAAGCGCTGATGCACATAGAGCCTCACATGTACACAACATACACACACATGCCTGGCACTCACAGGCCTCTCCCGGGGGCACTCCACCAGGACACATAGGCACACCCAAAGCGCTGATGCACACAGAGCCTCACATGTACACAACATACACACACATGCCTGGCACTCACAGGCCTCTCCCGGGGGCTTGCGGATTGTGCTGAGAAGGAGCCCAGCACCGGGATGCAAATCATGCCCCTGCCATTCCTGGCTGGGTGACCCTGGGCAACTCACTTCCCCTCCCTCAGCCTGTTTCCCTATCAGGAAAATGGGGACCGTGAGCCTGGGGTAAGCAGGAAGCTTAAGTGAAATGACGCCTCCAGACAGGGAGCGATGTGCCAAATCTTTAAGCGCTGCTGAGGTCCAAGTGGCGCCAATGAGAAAGGACAATGACCCGGGGTCCTGGTGGCCCCTGTGGGCAGGGTGGTACCTTTAGCCCTGGATTGTGTGGAGGGAACAGGGAAGTGGGAAAGGACAAGCATATCGGGGCCAGGGCAATGGCCCTTTATCCACTGGCACAGGGCAGCTGAGTAGCTTACCATGGGGTACGGTTGCCTCTGGGGTCTGGTTTGCTCCCAGCCCACTGAAGGCTGACCCTGGAATCTGGCCTGTGGACAGAGCCCCAACCCTGTCATGTTTCAGAGGGGACCCTGTTCTCCACACAGGAGGGTCCCAGACATCCTGCCTGGAAGCCACCAACTGTCAGGGTTCCAAGGAGAGGATGCAGAGAAGCAGAGAGGGGGGCCCAAGGCAGGGGTCAAGGCTGGAACGTAGGGACCTGCAGAGACAGACACCAGAAGAGCTGCCTGCACAGACACACTCCCCCCTGGGGACTTGTAAACCGGATTCCAGGCGCTCTTGGCCTGGCTACTGCGAGTCCTGCTCCCCCAGGGCCAGCGCGGGGAAGCTATGCGAGAAGGATCGAATCCATGCCTGGCCCAGGGCCCTGCCTCCTTGGAAAACAGCACCATATTAGCACTTGGCCTGTGAGACTGGGGTGGGCCGGTGGCAGGGAGGGCCGCAGGTGCCAGAAGAACAAGCCCCCTTTCTGCTGGAACCCAGAGGGCACCCCCCAACCCAGGCGCCCATCCACCATTCTGCTCCTGCCAGGGCTGGGGGACCTTCCTTGGGGCCTTGAAGGAGGTGGGAGCATCACGGAGGGGCATGTCAAGGCAGGATGGGCCTCTGGTGGCACATGCCAGACTCAGCAGCCCCATCTGGTGGCAGGGCTCCTGGGTCAGCTCAACGCTTTCCTCAGCTGTTCCCACTTGTCACTTCCCTGGATGGCCCCAGAGCTACTTGTGCCATGCCTGGCAGTTCTACCTCCCATTCCATCCTCAGCATGGCCCTGGAAGGAAGCTTCCTTCAACATTCCCGCTGTGCCAATGAGTACTCCGAAGCCCCAACGAGGACATCCGCTGCCCAGGACATCGGGCCAGGTGGAGGGGCTGGATCTGCCCAGGCTGCTGTGTACTAGCGTCCCTGTCACCCGTAAGACCATATGAGGGCAGCACAGCCCCCAGGGGCTCACCGTCAGCCATATGTGCCCCACCCCCACCTCCAGCCTGTGGAAATTCCTCAGCACCCTTGGAAAAAGGTCCCTTTCATGGACTGTACCTTTTGCCAGCACCCCTGCCATTCCCACAGCCCTCAGGACACCAAATGAGCTGGTCCCTCCGCCTGGATCCTGGACTCACAAGGAAGTGAGATTGTGGGCTACAAAGCCAGGCTTCCTGGGTTCAAGTCCCACCTGTGTCGCCTTCTGGCTTTGGGACCTTGGGCCAGTGACCTCCCATCTCTGGCCTCAGTTACCACATCTGCGAGCTTCGGCACCTGTCTCATATGGGGATAAAGCAGGCAAGCCCTGAAAGCAGCGTGTGGCACGGAAGTGTTACTTCCTTCAGGTTGCCCCTCCAGGAAGCCTTCCTTGACTACCCGTCTCTCCTACCTCCCCTGTGCCCTGGTTTTCATTGTGACTGCCATAAACCCACGACCAGATGTCTCTCTGGTCCATCCGTGTCGCATGCCTGTTTCACCCTGAATGCTTGTTTTTCATTTTTTGGTGTGTGTGTATGGCTGGCCGGTAAGAACATCCAAACTCTTGACCTTGGTGTTAGAACACCACACTCTAACCAGCTGAGCTCACCGGCAAGCCTGAACACTTGTTGAGTGAAAAAAACATTGGACAGTTTGAGGACAGACCAAACCCCACCTCCAATGGGCCACCAAGCCAACTCTTGAACAGCTGAGCCCAAACCCACCCCCCAAACCCTCTTCTGGTGCTGGGGCAGGCCCAGAACCTGAGAAATCACAGACAGCCAGGAATCTGCATTGGCTGCTTTATTTAAGGACTTGTGACTGACAGCTGTCCTCAGCCCTACCCCTGCCTTCTCTACAAAAGCCACCAACCACAAAACGGGGCTTCCCGGTTAGCTTGGGGAAGCCAGCTCTCTGCCAAGGCCCGGCCAAGGGACCTGGAGAACGGTGGCTTTGAATAGCAGGCCACAGGAATTGGGAGGTAGGGAAGGAGGGCAGGAAGTCCAATTCAAATGGACAAGGTGCTGGTGAGGTGGGAAAGGAGGCTGGAGAGGGCCCACTCCAGCCTCTCTCAGACTTCCCTTGCCCAGATGACGGCAAACTGCCCCCAGTCCCCCTGGCAGGAGCCAGGGCCCAACAGCTAGGGGCGGGGTGTGCAGGGGCTGGAGAAGGGAGTTAACCAAAGGCTTTTGGAGCCAAGTAAGGCCAGTTCAGGCCCCTCAGACCCCTCATCCCTTCAACTCCACCCCGTATTCATATGCGCACACCGATGGTCACCCCAGCAGCCACACACGCTCAAGCTAACACGCATTCCACACACACGGAGGGCTGTGACAGCCCTGGACCCACACCCCAGACCCCTGGAATGTCTCTGGACTAGTACCCAGCAGGTGGGTCCACGGCAGGCGGGGCTGCCCAGGGGGCGGGTCTTCTGCATTGCTACTGATTGGCCGCCTCGCAGGCGTCTATCCAATCGCTGTACACATCCACTGGTTCTGACAGATCTGAGCCACATAAGTCAAGGGTGATTGGTGGCACTGGACCCCTTCCCTGCATGCACCTCTGCTGCTCACACCAGTTGCCTCGCAGGCGTCTATCCAATCGCTGTACACATCCACTGGTTCTGACAGATCTGAGCCACATAGGTCAAGGGTGATTGGTGGCACTGGACCCCTTCCCTGCATGCACCTCTGCTGCTCACACCAGTGTCAGCCTGACCCCTGCCCTGCACCTCGTCACTTCATGTTTAAGTTAGTTGGCGGCACCTGTTCCTCTGCACCAGGGCACACAGCAGGGGCTGAGCTACAGCCCCCTGACCCTTGGCCAGGTGTCCTGGGGCAGCCCACCCTGACCGCCCCGCCCCCACCCCCAGAAAACACCTGAGTTTCCAAGGATACATGTGATGGGTGTCTGGAATTCCTCTAGGCACACAGTACAAGAGATGACTCCAGTGTTGCGGGCACGGTCCCTGAAATGGGACAAGGTGGACGGACTAGTGAGCGATGTGCCCTGAGCCTGTGGTGACGACACCCCAGCCAGGGAGGCACATGGCAGAGCAGAGGATGGGGAGGGGAGAGGGGAAGCCTGGGTGCCCCGAGGTGGATCCCTTGCCCTGTCCCCCACTCACATTTTCACGTCACAAGATTTCTCGTGGTTGCAGAAGGGGCAGGTGAACTGGGTCTCCAGGGTGCCCGTCATCTTCTTCTTGGGGGGTGGCTTCCGTTTTGACTTTCTGCGTCCCATGTCTGCAGGTGGGTGAACCTGTAGGAGGTGGGGCAGAAGGCAGTGACTCGGGGGACTAGTGCAGCCCACCAGCTCAATGCTCTAGGAAGCAGAACACAAAGAGTGCCTGGAATGGCCACAGCAAAGCAGGTCATGCACAATGGTGCCCAGGCCTCTGCCCCTGAGGGATGAGGCTCCCAGGCCCCGGGCAGGACAAACCCAGTGCACTGTGCGTGGAAGGGCTGAGGGCAAGGTGTGGTGTTAGGCAGCCTGGGTGCTAACCCCAACTCCCCTCCTACTGAGTGACAGTGGGCAGATCACTTAATCTCTCTGTGCTTTGGCTTCCTCATCTATAAAAGAGAGCTGAGGTTGCTATCTCAGAGGAGTCTTGTGGGGCTGAAATGAGGAATGGTAAGTAAGGTGTTTAGCACAGGGCCTGGCCCATCCATAGTAGGTAGCCACTGTTCCCGGTGAGGATGACACCAGAGACTCTAGGACAGGCCAGAACAGGCTGGTCATGCAGGGCCAGGATGAGCTGGTTAGAATCTGTTTACGAGCTGGTGATTTTTTTCTTTTTTCTTTTTTTGCAGCTGGCTGGCACGGGGATCCAAACCTTTGACCTTGGTGTTTTCAGAAGGCCACACTCTAACTAGCTGAGCTAACCAGCCAGCCCCCTAGGAGCTGGTGATTTTATTCTGGCTGCTCCTCTTATTGAGGGACAAGGGACATACAAGTGCCATCCAGGAGGAGTGACAGTCTGGGGATTTGACAGCCTCCAGACAGGCCTCCGGGCTGCCTGCCTCTCTGCAGATGACAGACTGCTAGGCAGAGAAGTGGGACAAGCACTTTGATAGAGGAACAGTATTTGCAAAGGCTCAGGGACAGGTGCCTGTCCCCTGGCATGCTGAAGGAGCAGGGACAGGAGAAGTGTTTTGAACGTTTGGATGGATCCTAAAGCCCTCGAAGAGTGAAAGGACGAAACTACTGTGTGCTTTTGAGGGTTTGAGGAGTATGAGTCAGAAGTCTGGATGAAGATGAAGTCAGGGCCACCAGAGGGCTGTTTGGGGTGACAGACAGCAGTGAGCGAGACAGGGAGACAAGTCAGCGGAGTGAGTGTGAGAAGAGGAGAGTGTCAGGCCTCCCAAGGTTGGGGTGAGGACACAGTTGGTGGGTAGGGGGAGAAGGTGGATCATTCCCTGATGTTTAACACATAAGAAGAACAGGGTGTTGGGGAAGATGATGGGGTCAAGTGGCAGACGGACACCCAGGGACAGATGTCTTGGAGGTGGCTGGGTAGGGCAGCAGCAGCAGCTACCCCTGAGTGCCACTCCCATGCTAGGCTGTGCTTGGGGCTGTTCGCCACCCCTGATCCTCCCAATGGGCCTCGTCCACCACACACATGCACACACCACACTGCCAGCGCCTCCCAGAATAAAGAGCAGAATTTCGCTCGTTAGTGACCACTCCTGACAGAACACCCTCACTCTTAACTGAGGGGGCTTGGAATTCACTGAGTAAACAGAAGCAATGGGAAGACAGCTCTTGGGACCACCCGCACGGCCTTCCGTCTTCTGCTGTGGAAGTATGTCTGGGTTTCCCGCACAGACAACAGGTTCCCTCTGCCCTGACCCCAACCCCTTTTCCTTCAGCAACGTCAAGTTTTCCAGCTCTACTGGATTGCGGCCACACTTGTCATCACCTCTCTCATCATTTCAAAAAGAAAAAGACAACCTCTGCATCCTCTTCCAACTACCCCATTTCCCTGCAGGCTTTGCTAGTGCACAGCAGTCTGTGTCCCCTCCCATTCTCTCTACACCCCCATCCCCCAAATAAGGTCATCGGTGGTTCCACACTGTTCCCCAGTGGGCAGTCCACTCTCCTCAGGGCACTGGACACACTGGTCACTCCTCCCAGTCCTCCAGTGTGGCTCTCAGGACCGCCACTCTGCCCGACCCCGCCTCGCTGGTGGCTCCCTTTTGTCTCCCCTGCTGCAGCCTCTGGCCAGTTTCTCTAGTGATAAGAGAGCCATGAGGGCAATCTTCAGATTCTCCCCTCTCCGTCTATACAGTAGATGTCTATCCCCCTTTATCTGTGGGGGATATGTGCAAGACCCCTGGTGGATGCCTGAAATCGTGGACAGCACTGACCCCTACATGTAGGATGCACAAATTTCCTACAGATGGAAGATTTATTCTTACCGTAGATCTAGCAACCCCAGCATATGATTTATTTTCCTTCTTTATTAAGTCAAGAATTTTCACCTTTTCACTTAAAGGAAGCACTTTACGGCTTCTTTTGGCATATCCAACTTGCCAGAATCACTACTGCTGCGCTTTGGAACGATTATTAAGTAAAATAAAGGTTACCTGAACACAAGCACTGTGACACAGTTGATTTGATAACTGGGACGGCTACTCAGTGACTAACAGGCAGGTAGCATAGACAGCGTGGCTACGCTGGACAAAGGGATGATTCATGTTCCGGGTGGGACGGTTAGAAATTTCATTACGCCACTCCGAATGGCACCCAATTAGAAACTTAGGGATTGTTTATTTCTGGAATTTTCCATTTAATATTTTCAGACCTCAGTTGACTGTGGGTAACTAAAACTGTGGAAAGTGAAACCAAGGATAAGGGGGACTAAGGCACTCATCTCCATGAGATCTCACCCAGTCTCAGGGTTTCGTGCCTCCTCTACGCTGATGACCCCCTCCTCTCCAGCCTCAACAACTCCCTACCTTAGCCACACCTCCACCTGATATCTAACAAAACTGTCCAAAACTGAGCTCAAGGGCCGGCCCGTGGCTCACTCGGAGAGTGCAGTGCTGATAACACCAAAGCCATGGGTTCGGATCCCATGTAGGGATGGCCGGTTCACTCACTGGCTGAGCGTGGCACTGACAACACCAAGCCAAGGTTAAGATCCCCTTACCAGTCACCTTAAAAAGCAAAAAACAGGGGCCGGCCCGGTGGCGCACTGCTGTGGTGCGCCGCTTGGGAAGCGTGGTGGCGCTCCCGCCGAGGGTTCGGATCCCACATACAGACCGGTTCCCGCTCACTGGCTGAGCGAGGCGCGGG